GCGGGCTTTCAGGCGGCCCTGTCATCAGGACTCGGGCCTCGCGCGGGAGCATTGTGGGGCCGCGGGGGTGCGTGTCATGAGCTTGGCGGTGGCCGGCGCATCTTGTTGGCGTAGAAGTCCCTGCATGTCTGGCAGCACCGCTGATACCACCGCATGTCCTGGCAGAGGTTCTTTTCTCGGATGACCCGACAGTACACAGTCCACTGGTCCCGCGTGCATTTGTAGGTCAGAGCAGCTAAGGGGGCGGTGGAGAGAGAAAGCCCAGGGGTTACAGACGGCATGGGGACATCATGACGCATGCACAGAGGTGGCCTGTAGCCTGACACATGCTGGGCTGCCCTCACCGGTGCCCTCCGGAGCCTGGCAGAGACTGAGGAAGCAGGTCCCCTGCTGGGGACACTGTGGCTGCTGTTTCCTTCTACAGGGGACACACCCCTGTGTCCAACTTGACCACTTGGCAGAGTTTAGTGGCGTGACTGCCTCCTTGGGGCGAGGGCACTGCCCACCCTGCTTCTGACCTAAGTGACGCTTACTGTCATTTTGTGCCAGGAGATGTCATCACTATTGGCACTTATGAAACACAAGGGCACAGGGCACTGAAGGTCACAGGGCCCACACAAGCACAGGGTCACAGCACAAGCAAGGGGGTGAGTCGCCTGCAGGGTCTTGGTCCTGCAGAGAGGAGGTCCTGCCCAAGGGAGGTCTCTGGGGGATGCCAAGGGGGTCTGTGCATGCAGCAGCCTGGGGTGCACCTCAGCAAGCTCAAAGACCCCTGCCAGGGGAGCCGCTTAGAAGCCCCCTTCCTTCTGGTGGCATTCCAACATTAGGGAAAGGGACTTTGGTGGGAAAATATTCCCTGGGGGTTTCTGTTTGGAAAAGCAGAACCTCTGTTTGAAAGCGTCATCAGATAAGTGTTAGATGTTTTAATCCTTGGGTCCCTGTTGGCCAGGGCCATGGCCTGCTGAGGGCTGGGTTTGGAGCTCTCAGGGTCCAGCTGCTCACAACAAAGGTTCCCGCTGAATTAAAGACCAAACCTGCCAATACTTCTCCTTCCTTCTCAAGCTTAGCTTAAGGAACATCCCATGTGGACGTCCCCAAGGATCCACAAATGACACCCCAGATCCTTCATTCCCAGAACAAAGTGCTTCCCTCTGCCCCCANGATCCACAAATGACACCCCAGATCCTTCATTCCCAGAACAAAGTGCTTCCTTCTGCCCCCNCCCAGAACAAAGTGCTTCCCTCTGCCCCCACCCCCCGCCAGGGATTCTAAAACATCTGGACATTCTCCCATGTTCCCCAGTTGCTGGCAGAGGGGTTAACGGGACACTCGAGGTGCTGTGTTTGAGACTGAAGTGAGCAGACATTTTTTTCATGACAAGGAATGAAATTCCACCTCTGATGCTTCTGATCTTCTACAGAACTGACAAATGTCAGCCTCTCCAGGGCTCAGGTAAGACCCATGGAGGGGGCTTCCTGGCTCACGGACCCCACCGCCAGTGGGGACTTGCTGGCTAGGGGACAAGGCAGCCCTCAGAAGCAAGTGGGGCCAGCAGAGGCACTCACCGAGGCGAGGGGAGGTGATGGTGTTCACGTTGATCTTGTCGTTGCAGACCTCCTGGTGGCACTGTCTGTAGGCAGCTGGCTTCGAGAGGGCAGGGCACTCATTGCCATGGCGCCCGGTCACCTTGTGCATGCACTGCACCACGCGGGACTGCAGGCCTTTCCCACAGGTCGACGAGCACTGCCGGAGACAGGGACAGCCTGAGCTGGGGCCTAACCTGGGCTGGGGGGCCGTGACGACGGCCCAGTGATGTGGCCGCCCCAGGGCCTGGTCCCTGTGTGTCACTCACAGGTGCTTGAAATAATTGCAGAACAAGACGTCTTCGCTGTGCACCTGCTGCCTAATGAGAGACTGTTTCAAGATATTATGGACTGAATGTCTGTGCCCCCTTAACTGTCACACAAAGCCCTAACCCTCAACGGGATGGCATTTGGAGGTAGGGCTTTTGGGAGGTGATTAGGTTTAGATGAGCTCATGAGGGTGGGGCTCCCATGGTGAGATTAGTGTCCTCAAAAAAAAAGGAAGAGAGATCAGAACTCCCTCTTTCCACAATGTGAGGACATAACTAGAAGGCAGCCGTCTGCAAGCCAGGAAGAGAGCCCTCACCTGGAACCTTGACCCTGGACTCTCAGCCTCCAGAACTGTGAGAAATACCATGTCTGCAGTCTATATACAGGTGATAGGCGCGCTCAAGTATAAGGGGTGAAGGCTTTGCTCAAAATTATTCTTAGAAAAGTGTAAGTTATGTTACACTGAAGTAAGAAAAATACCTCTCACGGGGCAGAAGGAAGGGGTGACTGGAATTATTTCATACCAAGATCACTGTGGGTGGAAAAAAAAAAAGAGGCAAAGAAATGGGATCATCCTTCCCTGGAGGCAGGACTTCATAATCACAAACAAGGGAGGAAGGTGTGGAAATGTTAAAGATCACGCACGAGAGCAATCTGGTTAAGTGGATCTACCCCGGAGATGGGGAGACCAGGCCAGCAGGGTAAGTAAAGGAAGCAGCTAAGCCCTGGTGCAGAGCAAAACCCTGTGAACACAGAGCACAGTCACGCCAAGATCGAGTCACACCAACGCAGAGCAGTGTCGTGCCAACACGGAGCAAAGTCATGACAATAGAGCAAAGTCCTGCCAAGTCCTGCCAGTGTTACAACATGCCAACGTTATGCCACAGCTTGCAAGTGAACCGCCGAAGGGAGCAGCACGGACACATTCGGATACAGGCGGCATGCAGCGAGCTCAGCTGGCAGTGACGGGCACACCCTGGCAAACGGGACAGGTGACTCAGGAAGCAGAGTGATGACGACACAGGCAGACGCGAGGTTGTCAGGTGGCACCTCACAAACCCGCTTCTACCCCGCCGTTTCTGACCCTGTACAAGCAGCGATTTCATCAGCTCCAGCTTTATAATGCGCTCGAGACAGAAAATAACAATGTTTCTAATATAGATCTATAACTTTAATTATGAAGGTTAGGGTAAGTTACATATTTTAAGTAAGCGTTTGACTAGTCCACCTATGCCATTAAAGACTTTTATATCTAAATGGGTCATAAAATTAAAAGAAAAAAAAACCCTACTGCCTGAGAAAATGGGATTGCCATGTACTCAGGGCCTTGTTTCTGTGACCATTTGGCACTAGCGAGAGCCACGGAAGCAACACCAACATCCCTTTTCTCATCATATCTCGACGTGGACCATGGCCCGGTACCACCTGTTGCAGGAGACCCGCCCAGGAGGGGGAGCTGGGTATCTTCACAGTCCTTCTCGGAGGAACATGGGACAGGTGACTGTTGGGTTTTCAGGTCCCTAGGAGACTGCACAGGCTAATGAAGGAGACGCCTGCCGTGTGCCCGTCTGGCTCCCATGGTTCCCCCTGCCACCAGGCACCCAGGCCCTGCCAGCTGGGCAGTCGGCCTGGCTGAGTCACTTCCTGGCCAGGACACCAGCAAGGGCTTCGATGCCTTTTGCAGGTGTCGCTGTTATGCATGTGAGAAATCGGGCGAGGCCTCAGTCCTGTGGGTCTATTAAAACCAAGTGCAAAATTAACAGGGTCTCTGCCCGGAAATGATCAGTGACCATCGTAAAACTCAGGTGTTTGGTTGGGGTAGCCTCAAGGGCTAATTTCCCCTCAGACAGTTTTCAGTCTTGTTTCACATGCTTTGGGCTGGGGGTGGGGTGGGTGGGTAGCACTCATGACACCCCTAGCATGGGCGGAAGGCGTGCTCACTCCTCCTGCAGGCTCGCCAGAAAGATTCCACCGTGGTCCTGAGGCTGACATTGGCCACCAAGCTCAGCAGGGGTCAGTGTCTTGCCCGAGGTAACGTGATTAGTGGATGGAGACAAGGGACAGGCCCCAGCTGCCTGTAGGATTCAGAGGTTGTCCTGGATGGCGACTGCATGAGCGCCCAGACATAAAAAACCCCAGGTCATTGTCCTGCTCGACCGTGTATTTCTTCATTGTCTTTCCTAGCACGGGTCACTGGCTTCTAATTTTCCAGTCTGGAAAAAGAACTGCTCCACGAGCTCATGGAAAGGGCCTCCCAAGTTCTCCCATGGAGACACAAGTGTCTGTGCTCACGGCTCTCCAGCACCTCCAGGAGCCAGGGCCAGGCCAGGTGAGAGGCCAGGGGCCACCCAACAGCTGCAGGGGCACTTGGGACCCTGCAGACCCTGCCCCTCCCAGGGGTTAAGTCTTGGCTTAGGTTTTGCTAAATTTTAGCTGGAGCCCTGGGGGCTGCTGCACACACAGTCCTGGGCTGTGAATGGCCCGAGCACGCGCGCGCGCACACACACACACACACACACACACACGCACACACGCACACGGAAGAACCTGTGAGAGCCTCTGGTGTTTGCTTACCCGCCTGGGAACCGCTTGAGCTGGTCCCACAGGGGCTGTTCCAGTGTGTTCATTGGGAAGACACACGGGCTACAAAGAGGCAAGTAACCAAACTGTCCCCGTTTTTGCTCAGTACTCGTGTGTGCACCTATATAGGAGTTGCTAAGACCAACTGTGAAAAAAATTCACCGTGCTATCATCCGGTGTGCAGGACGTATTTTCTCTTCTGTGTTTTCTATAGTAAGAGAGGGTTACCTACGTAATTTAAAACATCGAAAGACTCCATCAGTGACCCTTTGATGTAGCCGCCACCTTCCAAACTGGCTGCGTTTTCATGAGTCGAAGTGGTGCCTACCTGGCCTAAGATCCATGGGTAACCACGCCCCCTGGGGCCGGAGTTTCACCCGGGAAGGATCAGGGCTGCCCCCCCCCCCACTTGCTGCCTGTGTGACCCTGGGCAAGTTGCTTAACTTCTCTGAGCCTCAGTTTCACTATTTGTGGCTTGAGGTTAATAAAGCTTTCCTTGCAGAATGGTTTCCATGATTAGAGACAGCTTAGAACAGGTGCTGAGCAGGGAGACTGGGATGGAGAGGCCCCCAATAAGCGCTGCTATTAACGACAATAGCAAGCACGGGGCCAAGGGCAGACAGGGCTGATGGAGTCCCTGGTGTCCAGGAAGGTGCACTGAGTCACCTGGCCTATTGCTGAGTGCTCCCAGGTGGCCAGGCCTGTCACTGGGGCTCTGCAGGCAGGTATGGATGCCCACCTTTGCCTGGCTCCAGGCACTGACCTGGCAGCTCAGCCAGGAGACCCTGGGAGCACAATTAGAGGCCAACGTGGCCCTGAGGACAAACACGATTCCAGACAGGTCTGAGGGTTGCTTTTGCACGGCCCCCTCCTGTCACCTGATCTCGTCACATTAAGGATGACAGGCACACGCAACAAATTCCATCTCTGTCCACCCCCACCCCACCAGGCCTCGGCTTTAATTAAACAGCGAGGAGACCGCCCGCCTGGGTGTCCCGATAGCATCGGATTAGCCCCGAGCACAGGAGCGAAGCCATTTTTCAGGCTTTTAAAAGCCAAGCAAACAGATCTATAAAAGAAAAGGAAACATATCTGGTCTTGTTTGAAGCACTCTTTCCCTGCTGGGTGGCTTTTTCAAGCCGTTAATTACATTAACATTTAATGGGGCTCCCGAGACACAGGAAACTGAGACAGAAAGGGAGTGGACCATAAATCCACCCGAACAGCTCCTTGCCTGGCTGGGGACCTGAAGGAAGTGCAGCCCCTCGTTCCCCTGGTGACCTGCCACCTGACCCAGGGGCCCTTCCCCAGCCCAGGGCGGGGGCGCCAAAGACACGGGGGGGTGAAAGTTCCCCGGGAAGAGCAACAATGAAATAAGAAAACTGTGGTGTGCAGAGAGCAAAAGGAAACAAAGGAAAGGACAAAATTTGATCTGGATACGCTGAAAGGCTTGGGTGTCAGTTATGGAGCGACAGGGCAAGGGAGGATTCCCTCTCTGTAGACGTGAGTTTCCTGTAGAAAGGGGGAAAGACCTTCTGTTCGCTCGTTCCTCTGACCCAGGTGACAGGGAGATATTTGGCGAGCGTCACGGGCCTGGCTTTTTTGGAATAATCCGTAATGATAACATAATGATAATAGCCGCAGGGCCTGGCTTCCGCACACCAACTGTGAGCTGCGGATGGGGCCTCGGTCCCCTCTCATCCTTACACTGACAGCCCAAGTGGCCAAAAGCAGTGCTGGGAGCATAGTAGGTGGACAATAAGCAGGAACCAAAGGCATGCACGGCGTCTCCGAGAGGCGGAACGTGAGGCCAGGGCGTCTGTGTCACTCTTCCCAGGGGACGGGCCTTCCACCCTGGCCTCGGCCCTCCCTGGGCCCCCACTCCCCTGGCCACACTTCCCCCTGCAGGGAGGGACCAGGTCTCTGTCATCACACGCAGGCCGGGCCCTAATGACAGGCTCCCCTCTCCTCCCTCCCCCTGCCTGTAAAATCACGGCTATAAATAACACCAGATCCCAAAGGGATGTTTTGAGAGTCAGCTAAAGGAGGCTGCGAGAGTCTCGGGAGCAGGAAGATGCTGCAGGAACGTTACAGATGTGCATGAGCTCTGGTTCCTAAAGAGAGGCCTGGGCGGGCCGTCCACGGGCTCCGGGGGAGCGGGAGAGTAGGTCAGGGTGACCGTTTGTGAGGATGGACACTCACTGCCCGGTGTCACCACCCCATGTTGTCTCTGAGCCATCCTCTGAGGGGCCCAGTCTGCCTGGGGCAGGTTTGGGTAACAGGATGAGGGCCGGGGAGAAAGGAGGGAAGGGAGGAAGGTGGGGGGCGGAGAGGGAGAGAGAGATGGAGGGAGAGAGGGACAGGGGGAGAGAACACCCCCCCAGTAACTCAATTTTCTCTTTGTGCCTAACAGGCACTTGACTGGTGAAATATCAAGCACAGTTTTGACAGACTGCCCCCCAACTTGGCAAGAGCAACACAAACCTCGGAAGCTGTTGGAACCTGAAATAGCAGGTTTAAGCAATAATGAAAATCCCCACTGCCTCTGCTCCAGCCTCGGAACTGAAGATGCTATCTTAGACACCCCCCCTGACAG